GGGCTTAGATACCTAATCCAAAATATAGCCCAATCGCAAATCAATCTTGGAAAACCAAGATTCCCTTGAAGTTGATCAAACAAGTCATCGATCCTTGGAAGTGGATAACAGTTCTTCACCGTTAACTTGTTCAGCTCTCGGTAATCAATACACATCCTATGTGAACCATCCTTCTTTTTCACAAACATAATCAATGCTCCCCACGGTGAACTGCGTGGCCTAATATATCCATTGTCTAACATATATTGCAACTATGTAGACAACTCTTGTATCTCTGGTGGTGCTAGGCAATATGGTGCCTTAGCTATCAAAACTGCACCCAAAACCAAGTCGATCCGAAACTCTACATGCCTCTCAGGAGGCACTCCTGACAAGTCCTTAGGAAACACATTAGGGAAATCCTGAACGATAGGTACACCATCTACAATCTTCTTCTCTACATCACGACTATCTACAACATAGGCTAAGAACCCTAAGCACCCATGCTAAAGATATCTCCTAGCTCTAGAAATTGAAAAGCTAGTCGGTCTGTGCTGTGCACCCTCACCGCGTATAACTAGTTCTCCCCCACTTGGGGTACGAACTCTCACCAACTGATGCTCACAATCAATCATCGCCCCATATTGGCTCAACGAATCCATACCCATAATGATCTTTGTCTCTTGTAAGGAAATAGGAACTAGATCAAATGGATACCTCTCATAGAACATCTTAAGAATGCAACCCCGGTGAACTCTCGAAGCACTAACCGTGCGATCATCTGCAGTCTCCACATCCAATGGGGAATCCAACGCTCGGGAAGAGTCAACTTCTTGCTAAGCGCAAGAGATACAAATGATCGAGTAGCACCAAAATTTAAAAGAACAAGAGAAGATAAACCATTCAATAAAAACATCCCTAAACACAAGCATATGAATCATAAGCATAAGTAACGAAAGCAGTAACAAAATGATAAAAAGAATACATATTTGTTAACCACATTTGGTGCTGCTCGGGCCTCCTCGGCCGTCAACTGGAATGCTCGGCTCCTCACCACAGGATCCTCTGCCTTAACCTGACGGCCATCAGTGATCCTTAACGTAGCTAGAGCAGGCATCCTCACTGATCTTCCTGATAAGCTAGGACAACTGGCCTTCTTGTGGTAAGTCTGATTGTAGTGGAAGCATATCAATGCTCCACGAGTGCAATCTCTACTAATGTGTCCCTTCTATCCGCACTTAAAGCAACCAGATCCCCCCGTATAACAAGCCCTATCGTGTACCCTACCGGATTTTCCAAACCAGCTCCGGCTCTGCTGGCCTTTGGATCGAGAATCAAAAGTCTTGGGTCTCTTCGCCGGACCCTCTACTGCCTGGACCTGAACTGGCCTTCGCTTCCTCAGAAGCTCTAAATCAATCTACCGCTCATGGGCTCTGTCAATCATATCCTGTAGGGTCTTGCAAGTTGAAATGCTAACGAACTCCCTTATATCATCTCTCAACATATCATGATATCTCATCCTCTTCATCTCCTCGACCGCCACATACTGTGGAACCAACAAAGCCCTCTCCTTGAAGTTGGCGGTAATCTCCACCACAGTCTTCGTCGTCTGCCGAAGATCTTTAAAACTCCCTCGCAAGCTGATGTACCTCAATCGTAGGTTTGAACCCAGTCTTGATTCTTGTAACAAAGTATGGCTAGGTCTTAGCCTCAATGGTTGGCTCACCCAGAGCATGGTCAATCTCCTCCCACCAATCACGAGTTATCCCTCTTAGAAGATCGGCAACAAACATCGTCTTCAACCCCTTCAGCCAAGAGCTGGTCCGAAAAGCACTCTCTATATCAGCGATCCATCGTCGAATAGAAATAGTGTCTTTTGTTTCTGAGAACTCGGGAGCTCCACAAGCACAAACATCCTTGTAGGGTGTGTTCCTCGTTGGCTAGCTGTCAACTCCATGGGAAAGGCCGTGAAGTGCTCGTCCAAGAACTCCATAATCCCCTCCTTGATGGCACCGAACATCAAAGGAGTCGAATCCAAGATACCACACTAAATCTCAGTTGCAATATACTCATGTAGCCTTTCATCGATCGTCTCAGCGCCAGATCCTTCGATACCACCATTACGGGTAATCACCACCATACTGAAAAACAACAAACAAGATATTAGAACATACCTGAAAATCCCATATACTACAAGCTGCTCAGAATTTACGTGACTTTCCTTAATTTGAGTATAGATCCTGTGATTCCAGTAGTATGGGCCCATACTACCTTCTACGCTTATCCGTAATTTCCTCAAGAATCGTCCCAAATCTTGTAAGTTACTATCTTACAAACTTTCCTAACGCGAGCTATAACACAAAATAACGTACTACTAAAATACTTCCTTGGTCACTAGGAATTCCCATCCCACACTGCCATCAGTTGCGTAAGAAACTTCTACCAATGTCGACCAACTACCTTACAAATACAATCACATGCAACAAACATCAAATAATCTTTCAACTGAAAGATCCTACACTAGAACAGTTAGAATCAAACAAGAGTTGCGCAATAGAGCCAAATCAAGCATTCTAAGACTATTTAATCCTTGTGGCATGAAAACTAATGTATTTTATTAATAGTAAATTAACATCAGTATAAATTTCACATAACACAAAGCAAGCAACATTCGGGCAGTGAAACTACTAAGCAGTAAGGTATCAAGAAGATCAGGCAATCCTAACAAGCAGTACCTGAAGATCCTTAGCCATTCTCTATCATGCATTTCTAGCAATACCCATAATAGGCACGAAAGGCATTTCTCCTAACAAGCATTCTAATCATGTAATCCTGAGAAGATCCTTAGTCCTGTTGTAGTATTCACCTCATATCATAGCATACTAAAGAATAAAATTCATGTATGAGTATTTTGGGAATACTTACTTGAGCTCAACTGATTGCACACATCGCACCCCTTTCCTTGTAAAACTTTTTTTTAGAAAATTTATTTTCTTTTTTAAAGATTTTATTAGTCCTCATTTTGAGTTCAAACACACCATAACGCGTGTCCGACTCTCTCAAACCAAGACTCTGATACCAACTTGTAACGTCATGAAAATAAAAAGTACAAATTTCATTATTAATTCAACCAAAATCATTCATTCATTACTTCAAAGGATAATCAAGCGTAATGTATTCTCAAAACATCAGAGTGAAACATAAAAAGATACAACAGAATAAAACTCCAGGGGATGTAGTGCGATCAAGTCGGGCCCTTCCCTTTGGAACCAGAAGTACCTGAGCATTTAGACATAAAACCGTAAGCACAAAGCTTAGTGCGTTCCCCAAAATACTACATACCATATATATATATATATATATATATATAACGAGCCTCGCCCACAAGTATATAAACGAGCCTTGCCCAGTAATATGTGTCTCACCCAACGGGCCTCACCCAACATACATGCAAGAGTCATAAAGACAATCTAGCATCATACATAGTATAGTGAGAAGACTCACCTCACACTTGATATCGAATACAACTGCTCGTAGAGATGAGAAACTGGTGTTACGCCCCACCTATTGAAACATCCATGGTAAAACCTTAGTCTACCTTCTAAAACTAGCATTCCAACCAAAAGTCAAAAAGCCAACATACAAAGTCAACTCAGGTGACCACCACGTTGTGGCCATCTAACTTAGTCGCGATCTAAAACAGCTACCACGTTGTTGTAGACATGCCGCCACGCGGTGGTTGATTCCATACAAAACAGTTGCGAGATTCTCCTTCGCTACGTCGTGGCATCCATCCAGCCACACCGTGGCTACTGCACATGAACAACTTAATGGATTGAGTACTTTATCCGAAAATCTCCTTGATCATACTTTCCGGTAAGCTTCTTGGGACCCTAATGGTCCATAAAAATCCAAACTTTATGGACATGCATGAACCATGCATGTCCTCCTTAAAACTAGGTCAAAATATGGGAAAAGTGATCTAAAACTCATGCATGGCTACCAAAACTATACCAACTCCTAGATCCAGATGATATAATGACGAAAGGACCAATGTGAGCCACAAAGTTGCAAACTTTATCTCTTTCAACCATCCAAAAATTCAATAAGGACTAAAACATGACATGAATCTAGATCTATAAGGAAGACATCAACAAGATGAGAACTTAAGAGCTTACAAATGGTCCAGAAGATGCACACAAGGAGTAGAGATGAGTGGCTTGCTTGATCTATGCACAAGAGTTCCTACTTCTTCCTTCCAAGATCACAAAAACACCAAAATAAGTCAAGAACTTCAAAGGGAGGCTATGGTTTTGGTTTATGAGTTTGGAGAACGATGGAGGATGAGAATAGAAGAAATCTCAACAATCACTTCCCTTAAATAGGGCCCAAGGCCATAAATTAAGGTTTCTTCAAAAAGACGTCGCCACGTCGTGGCCAATACATGACCACACCATGGTGACCTTAATGATCAGCGTGTGCCAATTGATTTTGCCATGTCATGGTGATGTATTCACCATTCCGTGGTCACCCCCAAATCTTAAATTAATAATTAACGTTCATACCTGAAAACGGGTGTTACACCCCAACATACATACCCCACCCCACCCCATGTTGCCCACCACCACCATTATTTTCAAGCACCTGGATTTTCATCACTTATCTTCAACCTATAAATCTATAAATAAAATAAAAAAACTCTCCAGATCCATGAATGAAAAAGATATCCCAATATCTTATACGCACAATTAAAAACAAGAAATAAACACATACACACATATACAAAAAAAAGTTAGATACCCAATAAATTTAATCATCCAGCTCCTCCCGATAAAATTATATGGGATGTTTAGTATGTAAAGTTTAAAAGTGTCTAGGGTTTAGCTTAAGGCCCATTATATATTGTTATTTATATGCTTTTATTTTTATTTTCAATCATGCAAGCTATCATATTTACACTTAGTAGTTACTGAATTTATCGCACATGGCACTAAGAAGTCGGACAACATAACTAAGTTCTAATGGGTGAGCCAAATGACATAGACCAGTTTCATCCAGTATCGTTGTCACCATCAATTTACAATCTTCCTATTCAAGATCTACTTGATGGTAAGTACAATCTTTACATCAAAACTCTCATGTATGTTTGGTAATTCAAGCACACGATTTCAACTTCACAGCCCTGAAAACTTCTCTTTACTAATTAGGAAGTTGACACTGTATTAACATCCCTTTGAAATACTTTAGATAACAAAAGAAGGGACTTCATCAATATTTGTGTTCCTCTAAGTAAAGCATCGATGAAAGGAGATTGGAAAACTGCAAAATCCATCCTCAATTGTCAGGAACATCTAGTACGTTATAGTATCACTGAAAATTGTGAAACAGCAGTTCACATTGCAGCGGCAGCTCAAAGGAACACAAAAAGCATCAACTTCGTGCAACATCTTGTTGGAAAGATGGAAAAGGCAGACTTGCAACTTCAAAATAGACAAGGTAACACTGCCCTTTGCTTAGCAGCAACAGCTGGAAATGTTGAAATTGCTAAAATTATGGTGAAAAGTAACGAGGACCTGCCCACAATCGCTAATGGCGAAGCAATGAGACCATTGTTTATTGCGGTGTTATTTAGACACCACGAAATGGTAAATTATCTCTATCACCAATCTCAGCGAATGGGTGTTCCTGATTGGACACCTAAAGATAGGAAGTGGGTTTTCTTAAGGTGCATTGAACTTGATCTCTGGGGTAGGTATTTTGTTGGTAGTTGTTGTACATAGATTTCATTATTAATTCATTTTATAATTCCCAATCAATCTTTTTTAGATTTCGCACTAAAAATATTAAAAGACTACCCACTCCTAGCTCAATGTGAGAGTGCACTCGGTGCTTTGGCTCGAAAGCCTTCTGCATTTGATGAATCAAAACAACATTGCATCTGGAGAATCATCAATCCAAGTATACTTCATTCTACATTTTCACACTTAAACATTTGATTTTGTTATAAGTGTCCTTGTGGTTCATCTACTTGACGCCTTTTTTTTCTTTTTGTAGTCATTTGTTTGAAAAGGGAACATGTTGCAACAGATAGTAAAGCCATGCAAATACTAAGAAAGATTTGGACAAGGATCGAGGAAAAACCCAAGGCTGAAATAGATAAAATACTTAGAGGCCCCAAGGTTCTTAAAGATGGAATTCAAACATACCCATCAAGAATACTATTTGTTGCTGCAGAAATGGGCAACACTAAATTTTTGGTCGAGCTCATTTCTAGATACCCTGATCTTATGTGGAAGAAAAATGAGAATAATCAAAGTATTTTCCACGTTGCTGTGTCTCATCGTCATGAGAATATCTATAATATGTTATATGAGATAGGCTCAATGAAGGCTTTAATAATTTCTCTGGCAGATAAAGATGGCAATAATATGTTGCATTTGGTTGGAAATAAGGCAGAGAAACGCCGAGATCAAGATGTGTCGGGGGTAGTCTTCCAGATGCAACTTGATTTAATATGGTTCAAGGTACATTAATCTCTCAAACACATGTACACATTTCTTTAATTAATTATATCTTGACTATCTTCTATATGTTTCCTTCCTTTCTTTTGTCTGTGAATTAATTATGTGCATTACTCGAGTTAGGTGACCAATGATTAGATTATAGTTTGGTTATCGAGTCAAAACAATATTCTGTAAGAATCAACTAAGCACACAAGTAGCTATTTTATGCCACATAGAACATTATGCCTTTCATAATGCTTGTAAGGGAGGATATTAATAATATCAAATGTTGTGTTGTAGGAAGTAGAGTCTATGATCCCCCCTCTTTACAAGGAGCAGAAGAACACAAGTGGCTTAACACCGTATGAACTATTCACTCTCAACCACACAACTTCAGTTATCGATGGTGAGAAATGGATGAAAGGAACCGCTAGTAAATGCACACTGGTTGCTACATTAATAGCCACCATTGTATTTGCAGTCGCTTATACAATACCAGGTGGCTATGACCAAAATGATGGATTTCCTATGTTCCTTCACAATGGACCCTTCCTATTGTTTGTTGTGTTAGATGCCATTTCTTTTATCTTGTCTTCGATTTCAATCCTTGTGTTCTTATCCATACTTACTTGTCGTTACACTCAAGAGGATTTCAGAAATTCATTACCTGAAAAACTATTGGTAGGTCTCTCAATGCTTTTCCTCTCCATAGTGACCATGATGATTTCTTTTAGTGTCAGTTTCTTCGTGTTGTATCGTCACCGTTTTATCACGTTAGCAATCTTTGTTAGCGTAGTTGCCATTATACCTATCGTTTCTTATGCTTATCTTCAATACCCTCTTTTGAAGGATGCATTTCGCTCGACTTATGGTTCCAAGTTTCTCTTTAGGCCGAAAGAACAAATGCTTTACTATCATAATCCAAGTTTCTAGCTAGTTGTTGACTTGTGTTTAGTTCTTAATTTCAAGTTCCATTTAAAGATATTTTTCATGATCATGTAGTTTATTGTTAAAGTATGTATTTATGGTATTTGATGAGTTGAATATGCTCCAAACCTCATATGCATGAATGAGATTTTGATGTTTTGTAGTCTTTCTAAATATGTCGCCAAAGCTGTTGCAATGTTATTTTGATTAGTATATATTAGGGATATATATTAGATACCATTTTTATTATCTATCTCTTCCGGGCTTCCATATTCATTAGATTGTACAACCTTTGTACCATTTCAAGAATTTACGAAATTTTAAATATAGTGCTCTTCGTGTTTTTCCGGATTATGGTTGTCCACTTTATCTCCCGGTGTTATTTTGATTGTTTTTGCTTTCCTCTCATTACTTCAAGTGGTATTAAAACGTCATAAGATAAAAAAACACAGCAACTGATTCGATTTTCTTGAATCCTAAAAGGTTTTTTTCTTGACCGTTTTTTCATCCTTGGTCGTTTTTTAGACTCTTTAAAGAGTATTTTTTTTTCTTTAGCTGATTATCTTAAGCGTCTAACCCACATATAATATTCAGTTTAAATATTTGAACGTTTTTTCTAGGCTTCATATACCTAATATACATTCGATTTTTCACTGCCACCAATCCAGCTCCTTTATCAATATCTTAAATCAATAAGCAGTTAAGCACAATCACTTTAATCAAATTTACTAAGCCCATACCCGAGCCACAATAACTGATATTGATTTTTCCCAATATGTTGATTTGTCTAAGCCTATTCACCAAGCCCAATAACCGATTTTTTTTAAACCATCACAACAACGTCCTAAATCTTTTTTCCTACCCCTTACGACATGTTTAATTTATATAGATTATTCAATGGCTATACTTAAATACGATTTTCTTTTTTGGAATCGTGACTTTAGATTTTCTTTTTTGGCAAATAAACACGAGATACGTTTTGACACAAAACGGAACAACGATTACTCAAAAACACCAATGTGTTCTTGAATTGAACGCTGGAATCCACCAGGGATAAAATCGATTTATTGAATGAACTTCCAAAATAAAAGTCATAAAAATTCCCTATTTAAAACTCTAATGAGCCTTATATACTAACTCACAAATCAAGAAAAAAAAAACAATAACTCTTAAAAAAAAAACTAGATAATATCAAAATTCAAACAGAAACTTTCAAGTTTCAAACACCTAAATAAATGAGGATCACCCTTATCTTCCGGCTATTGAGCACTCCTTTTCCTGTCCAAGCTCTCTTCAAATTCAAGTGCTAGAAAAACTTGACCTCGAGTTAATGTTGAGATATAAAGGAATGTCATCATGAAACTCATACAAGCCAGCCATGTTGAACGTCTTTGAAATATTCATGTCCCTTGGAAGATCGACCACATAAGCATTATCATTAAATTTTTTTAAGGATCTTATTAGGACAATAGGACCATGCTTTCATGGCTTAAACTTGTTGAATATCCCAACATGAAACCTTTCTTTCCGGAGGAAAACCATCACTTAATCACCCCCCTTGAACAACTTTTGATGCCTCTTCATATCATCAACCCTTTTGTACTCTTCATTCCTTGCTTCGAGCTTGGCTTTAACTTCCACATGAGCATCATGCGCTTCAGATGCCAGTTTTTCTGCTGCTGTGTTCATACTTGCCTTAGGTAAACTTGCTAAATCCAGTTCATGCCTTGGGGCTTGCTTGTAAACCAAGGAAAAAAGCGACTGCCCTATTGCAAAATGAAATGCATTGTTGTATACATCCCATTGCTTCGGCTTGTCTCCATAAATGCTAAACAAAGTCAGAAATCTCAACTTGGTTCCTCTTCGTGATGCAGCTCCTTTGTCGACAACCCCAGGGACTAGAATAAAGTCTAAGCATGCAGAGTTCCTATTGCCTCTTGGAACTGTTTATATTAATAATGCTCTACCAACAGGAGTAGTCTGTGTTCAACATCTCTTCATAAGAGAAGCAGAGCATTGAAATTTGTTATGTTGATGATGATGATCTCATGTGTTTTCAACGATCTGTTGATCTCTGCAAAGCTCCTACCGAACACTTATTTCATTTGAGGCTAGAGTGTAAGGGTAAACCAAGAGCTGATAGCCGCCAATGGTTAATTTCCTTTGAGTTGGATAAAAGAATAGATGAATTGGCTTGCGATGATTTTAAGTGGATCAAGCCTTAGATTATATATAGTTGAAGTTGATAAAGTTGTTTTCATGACTTCCAACTGTATTAGGTTTAGGCATCATCATATTGGGGAAGACTGTAAGGCCGAACCTTATAATCTGATGAGTCAAAGAAGTGTCACGCTAATTCTATGTTGACAACGTCATCAATTGTTGTTCAAGTCCTTCTCTACATGCAACGTGACGGTTTCTTTTGCTACAAGCCTCAAGACCCGTTATCTTAGTGATAGGATCATCTTTTGTATAATACATATCTTTGTATTTGAATCCCTGATATGTATGGATCTTATTCTAGAATAGTCTTACCCTAGTATATAAGTTACACTAGGGTTGAATGTAAAATCACGTCACTTTGTGCATTCTCTCTTTGTGAGAGATCTTAATCGAAATTGATTTTTGATTAATCTTTGTTCTTTGTTCTTAATTACTTGATATATTGTGTTATTACGATCCTTCAAAAACAATACGAAATGATGTAAAAAAGTCATGAAGTCACATGTTTACTTAAGAGCGAGATGTTGAGCCATCCATATGGGTAGAATGACATGAAGATTGCATGCATGTTGATTCCTTATCAAATAGACCCTTATCGGCATATATAATCAATTGATGAATCTTTTGCGAATATAATTTTTTTTTGAACGGCAAATACAATATATTCCTAAACTACTCCTAAATTCATATGTGTCTCAGACGAGACTTGAACCCTCAACCTCAAGGAGGGAGGGCAACACCTGATACCCGCTGGGCTAGAAGCCCTTTGGTTGCGAATATAATGTTGATATGTCATATTAGATAGGTACTAAATGAAATGTGACTGTAATGGTAGCAAATGAATTAATACACTACATTGAATGATAGATAATTCGATGAACCACAAGATAAGAAATGTTGCAAGATGTGTAGAGAGAGAAGAGTGGACATATTCAATGATGGTATATGATGACTAAGGCCACTATTACATGAGGTGATAAGGAAACAATAAGTGATGTTACCAAATGATATAAGTGTTTTACTTAAGATGTTACATCATTAACAAGAAGGATGTTTCTTGATACTTATGAAAATAATAAAACATGATTACACGTGATGATATATAGTGATTTAATAAGTTAGATAAGATAAGATATGTCGGATGATCTAGAGTCTAAGTGCAGGATGATAGTAATCCCAAAGATGCCATAGAGGCTTTAGTTGAGTATATAAAAGTATAAATATTTTATTCAAGAGTTTTTTTAAAAATGACCTCCATGTGATATACCAATATGAATCGAATTTAGGATTCAAAAGGATTACGGGGTTGAACTAAGTAGGAAAGAGTTTGAAACAACAATGTTAAAAATGTGAGGCAGACATGATAATTTGAGTTTTGCTTCATCGTCTATCATGATATACCACATTAGTGACATGTATGATGAGTGAATGAAAGTGATGAAATAGGAAGCAGACTTATAGCACAATCATCAAACTAGTGGCGACTACAATAATAAAAAGTTTAGTCAATGACTTGACCAATATACAAGTATGGTGCATAAAGAGTTTGATATTATATGATAAGTTGACTAAGCCAAACGAAGAAAAAACATAAATAGATATATGTGATGGGTTTTGAGCATATCTACAATCCTATGTGATCATGCATCCCTAATTGCTTTGGATCTAAGTTTTTCTCTATTGAACATGCAAATTGAATACCAAAGCAATGAACCCTAGATCTAGTATATACAATTTCGAAATTCACATATATATTAGGGTTTGATGATTACTTCACTTGTTATATTGTAATAACAAGAACAATCCTTGCTTGATCTTGACTTCTGAAAGCCTAGTGCCCCAAGTGTTACACCTCTAATGAAGTCACAAACACTCAACACAACAAGGATGACTTGGCGAGATGATGAAATCGGCCCGGATTTTTTCCAATAGCATAGAGGCTGAAATCCTTAGTCAAAGGGGGTTTATATAGTTGGGGCTATTAGGGTTTTCAGGTGGAAACCGTAATTTCCTTGCTTAGGCCTTAAGCAGTCCATGGACCTCCATAATAGAAGCCTTGGAAGAATTCTATAGGGCCTCCTATAGATTTCATCCAGTCCTCCCATAGGATTCCATCAGCCCAACTTTTCAACTATCAATGATTTGCAAAACCAGTCCCTCTATTATTAATCAGTTCCTTTAATCCTAAAATCAATATCAAATTAATTTCTGATTAATTACTAATTAATAATATAATTTCCAAATAATATATTAATCTTATAATATATTAATAAAATCATTCTTAGTACCAATTTATTATTCATATAATAAATCCTACTCTCTCTCTCTCTCTCCACTATTCATCCTGTCAAATTGCATGAGTGAAGGCAACCCAAAAGGACCATGCTCATATTCAAATCAAGTACATACCAATTATAGTTATGGGCATAGACACCTAATCCAACAATATCCCACTTGGATAAGTCAAATAACTATAATTGCAAGTATGACTTCAGAATCTGATTAGCAATCGTAGCTTTCAAAAGCCGCTGTCAAACTCTGATCTAATGAGTAACGCGTCCTTTAGATAAGGGATCAAATATTCCTCCGTTATACAAGATATCGTATGGACATGTGTAACACCCATAAAAATCAAGCCAATTTAAAACTTTTTCAATCATCCAAAAGCCATTAGTTATTACAAAATGTTTTCAAAATAGTTTAATATCAGAGTATCCCAGAAACCATAAGTCCAAAACACGAGGATGTGTACGGTCACACCTTCGCCTTGCCAAGTCATCTGA